TAAAAGGATACTTAAAAACACTAAGGAAGAATTAATAAAAGAGGAACTGCAAAAACGTGAAGACTTCAAAGGTGCAGTGGTAAAACAGAAAGGCAAGGAGATTGAGTATTGTAGGGAATTTAGTGAAGCTTATAGACAAAAGCAATGGGTATATATTTGCTGGCATGGATGCAAGTGCAGTTGAATTTAGCAAGATTGCAATTGGTCCTGTTGATTGGGATTATTATAGATATCCTTTTTTCTTTTCTCATGTGACTATTCTGATATCTTGGGATGATTTACTATAGAACGTAATCAATGTCTCATTACTTGCACTATTGCATTGCATAACAATCATTGTTCATTGCTTTACATGCATATAGTGTTTCATTGCTTTACAATAGTTTTTAAGTATTAATTTGATTTTTGAGCTTGCTAATGCTGTAGTCTTAAATAGTGTTCTGATAATCATGCATGTACCAATTATTTTGCATGATTTCCTTTTAACATTTTCCTGGTCAAAGGCTTGATTGAATTCTGAGCTTCCCTTAACTCAGGAATCTACAGTTGCAGCAGTGCAAGAGAAGTACATGAAGGATGATGAAAATATTGATGATAATGAATAATGGGTAAAAGGTAAATAATTGAAAGAGAATGACACCTTGGTGAGTAATTTTACTTTCTTCATTCACTGTTAAATTGATTTCGTTTTATTGTGATTTGTGAAACCATGGTGAAGTCTACTTATAGCTTGTGACTCCCGTTGCAGATATTGCACAGGTCATTTATTGTGAGAGTTTGGATTTTCGTCCTTATAGTAGTGAAGATCATGAAAACATAATTGAAGCAGGGGATCTACTAGTTAGTTTCATGATATTAGCTAATTCAGGCTTCTCCAACAGCCAAAAAGTCAATTTCCAGTTTTGGGCTGACTTTGTACTATATTATAATTACAATCCTACATCTTGGAGTTCCGAATGAGATCTTTGTTTGTTCGTTGAAGTTGATTCATGTTAAGTTAAGCATCAAGCGGAGATGTTTTCGCTTTGATAGAGAGTTGTGTTTGGGAACCAAGTAATATCTATTTATTCGATTAAAGTGAATGGCATTTTGTAAAGTTTGTGACCAATGATACGTTTGGTTTAGGAAAGAAAAACGAAAGAAGAAATAAAACGAATTTAGGTTGTTTTGTAATGAAAGGAAAGAAAGATGAAAATTTATATTTACTCATTTAGTTGGGTAGAAAGTGAAAGGAAACAAAAAACATATAGTTAAGGATATTTTGATAATTCTATTAAAATTGTATAGAGGAATGTTCCGTTGAAATTTCTTTTGTTCCCTTCGTTTTCTTTGAAAACAATGAGGCTTAGAGTAATTTCTTATAATTTTAAGAATAAAATGCAAGTTTATTAGCATCTTTTCACTTTTGAAATGGCAGCATATAGTTGAAATGCCGCGTGAATTTATTGTGCTATATTATGCACACGTCTTCCATCAGAAGTCGTGAATAGAAGTTAATAAGAACATATGTTAAAAACTTAAAATTATGCAGTTGACTGTCATGAAAATGCTGAGATGCTTCAGAGCACCTTGTTTCTTTAAGCATGTAAAATAAGAAAATGTTTGGTGTTCTGACATTGAACATGTCAAATGATTAGCGTGTTAGTTTTCAACCTATATAAGAGAAAATTTCAATTCATTGAATTTTCTAAGGGTTTGAGAATTTTTTTTCCAACTATACCAGTTTTCAACCCCCTGTATATATAATTTACTTCGAATTTTTATCCGAAAAAATTGATGAAAACACAACTTTTTTTCTTTTAATCACCCAGTCTCTCTTTAGATTAAAGTTCAGTTTATATCAGTTTTTAATTTATGATTGTTATTCAAGAGTGTGTTTGATAATATATTTTAAAAAAAGTTTATAACCTCTTTTTACTAGTTTATAAATTAATTTGACCAAAATAATTTTATTTGCTACGCGGGCTTATTTTTATAAATTAATTGAGATACTTAATAAATTCTTTTTTCTTATTCTTTTTTTAATTAATTTACTTGAAATTATTTTTTTACTCTTTAATTTAAAGATCATTTTATTTGCATCCGATTATCTAACTCACATTATTAAATAAATAAATATGTTATTTTAATTGATTTTATAAGTTAATTTGAAGACACTTTCAATTTTAATTTTTTATTTTACATAAAATGTTTTTCTTACATAAAAGAGAAGGAAGACTTCGCTATCGTCAAACCCACAGTCCAACACCGAAGACACGTGTATGCACGTGAACTACTGAAATTAATATATATATATATATATATATATCAATTTTTAATTCATCCTTAAAAAGATAAAAACATATTGTCCATACATGAAAGGTTGTATCCACGCTTAAGCAAGGTCAGGGGATTTGAATCCTGCCTTGTGTATGCAGTCGCGTTAAATCTTGGGGCCAGCTATCCCATCCTTTGAGGTGCCTCCAACGTAGCAAGGAGATTAGTCACTGCTGTCGGCGGTGAATACTCCAGGGACGAACAAAAAAAATACATGAAAAGTTGTTCTTTTTTGTCCATGCTAAGAGAAATACTTAATTAGTAAAAAATTTAATTTATACATAAAAAAATTAATTTGACACCTCCAAATTTTTTATCCAAGTTCCGCCATTAGGTATGTAGCATTTGCTATAGAAGAAACAGAGACTCTAGAGAATGGAAAACTCCAACGAATGATAAGTGACACAAAACAGTTATAAATATAGAGAGAAGGGCTAGAGACAGTGATTCACTACTTGTTAATTTGGTTGCGTGAGCCATGTCGTCTTAAAGGATAAAGTGAGCTCGCCTGGTATTTTAAGAATAACGTGGGCTAGCCTTGTACAAATGTTTCAAAATTATATAAATTCCATTCATTTTTATATCTTATTATTTAATTTTTTTTAAAAATAAACTAATTATATTTTGCAAAATTATATTTTAAAGATTTATTTTCATCTTTTAATTTTATCCTAAATATATTTGCAGATATTAAAAACATTTAAATTACAAAATATAAAAAGACCTAATTAGCATTTTTTATCTTTAGAAACCTAATTGAATAATCCTTAAAAGTTCATAAACAAAAATACAAAATGATTTATTAAGCCCATTAAAAAATATATAATCTTTCTTTATATATATAAAAAATTAGAAAAGATATTTTTAAGGGAAGTGTTTTTAGAGAATATTTTTTAAACAAATGATGTTTTTAATTTTTTTTTCAAGGAAAGCATTTTAGTGATTTTTTTGAAAAATTTTCATTTCTTCCAAAAAAAATTTTAATCTCTATTATTTATAAGTATCGGCTCAAAATAATTGTGTGTTTTTTAATATAAGACTCAATTCATATTGTTTGTTTCTCCATTATTTTTAGACTAAAGAATATTATCTAAATTTGAGAAAACACATTAATTATAAATTTTTAAAGAGCATAAACTCTAATTGATTAAAAAGATTGAGTATTAATTAGGAAAAAAATAGTATAAAAAGGATAAATATTAATGGTAGTTAAAGGGTAATTTTACAAAAAAAAAACATATATAAAAAGGATAAATTTATTTTTATCAACTAATTTAATTACTTTTTTAATCTGGGTGAATTAGATAATTAACACTTATATATACCTCCTAAGATACACTTACGTAATAGACATTTATTCCAAACAAATTCATGTGTTTATTTGTAATCGAGATTAGATAAATATTTAAGAGTGATATCTAACATAAATGTAACAAGATTTTCAACTCAGATTCTCATTTACACATACATACATACATACACACACATAAGGGTGGGTATATGAACTCGGGTCCGCAGACCGGTCTGTAAACCTACAGACTTCGCGGATAACGGATCCATTTTTCAAATCCGTATGACTATGTTTAATTTTGAGTCCGGTTTGTGAAGTTTGCGGATTTGGCAAATTTTATCCGCATGCACACAGGCTAGTCCGCGGACTTCACTAATTAATATTTTTAAATATTACAATTTTAATATTAAGTTATGTATTTAATTTTTTAAATTATTATAATATTAAAATTATGTTTAGTTGGTATGTATTTGTCATTTGAATTATTTTTATGACATTTTGATGCTTTTATTATTGAGAGTTTAGTATTATTATTTAAATATTTGTAATTATTTTGATCCTAATATTTTAATATTTATTATTTTAAATTATTTTAACTTGATAAATTTTAGTATGATAAAATTTAGCTTATAGATAAAAAAACATTTTTTTCTTCTAATTTTATGAATTCTTATTTTTTTAAAAATTATTTTTTTGAACCCATTATTTAGGCCCGCGAACCGGTCCGTTATCCGCGAATTTTGGCAGGCCAGATACGGACTTAAAAAATAAGTCCATTTATTTTACGGACCGGACTTATCCGACCCGCATAAAACGCGGGTTTTACGGACTGGTCCGTATACCCACCCCTACACACACACACACACACACATATATATATATATATATA